AGTTTTTTTTTTTTTTTTTTTTTTTTTTTTTTTGTGTGTAACGTGTGTGTATATATATATGTTCGAAGGAATATAAAGGAATATAGTTGTTATATATGTTCTTGTCCCTCATAATTTCTTGCTTTGTGTGGTTGTTAGTAGGTTCTAATATTGGCAACGTTCCCTTTTCATATGCCGGATCTTAAGTTTAGGCTAAAAGCCCTTGTCTATATGAACTATGAAGTTTCAGAGTCAGCTCGGAATCAAAAAGTCAACAATAGGCAAATCAAAGAAAAGCTGGGCCTCTCTGTATTATGTCAGCCCAGTGTGTTATGCATAGCACAAATAGTACCGTGGAATAACACCTGATGGGCTTGGAATAGGGCACACATTTGCCAATGATCTTTCTCCCATTTTTCACATACTGAAACTTGTGCTATGGACTATATACAGTGCTTACATACAGCCTTCAGAGATGTTAATACACGTAGTAATACATACAGCTGTTCCCTGTTTGTCTATAATATACTCAAGTGGTAATATATGCATGCTTAAGCACTTGAAAGTCACCCATTTATAGGACCCTCTTTAAAGTCCAAACCATACCACTAATCCTTTTTTCTTATTATTATTTGAAACATGCAGCTGAACCAGATACTATTTTTTCAGTTTGTGCCCTACACAGTTTAATAATTGATCGCTTACTCATACATATCTATTTTGCTAACTCCCAGGCGCCACATTGTTTATCAGATTGTCAATACATGCTACAAATTTGCAATTGCCTTAGCTTGCGGAAGAATCTAACTAGGAAATGCAAGTTTTTTTACATATATACATATCGCTTGATCAATTAGTTGAGATGTCAGCTGGAAGTTTCTTCGTTAGGCTTGTATATAGTATGGACCCCCAGGATTGTATAATGTATGTTTGTGGCTGCAAGATTTTCAGTAATCTTAATGGGATTCCATTAATTAAACTATAGACTCTAGGAAGCCTCCGATTACTTTTGCAAAATTTACCGTGTAGCTCTTATTTTTGCCTAGTCGTCAAAACCATAAACAATGGTTATTTTCCAGAGTCCAAACACTAGAAATGATTAAATTCCTCCCTGAGTACGCATATGCAGTGCTTACGCATGTGTAGGCAATTATCATTTGTCGAAATGCAAACCTTGTTTGGGTTTTGCACTATTACTGTTTTTGGTCAGAGTCAAATAAGCCCCCACTACATTCACACCCTTTACTCTTTTTTTATTATTATTTTATTTCATCTCTCTTATCGGTGGTCCCAATATTATCTCACGTGGCCACTCATAATTTGGGATTAACGTGGTTTCAAAGTACTTTTAAAAAATGAAAGAATTATCTCATTTACTTTGCTGATTCAAATTTTTAATTTGAGTTTATATGTGATTTTACGTGTGAGTTTTTTGCTGTAATAAAAAAATTAAATATAATTATTTTTAAGATATTTTTACTGTAACAAAACTTAAATTTTAAACTCAAATCGGTGAAATGAACGGGGCGGGAACTTAAGCTAAACAACAACAGCAAAAGATGGAAATAATGTGCGTTTGAAAGCGACCCTCACGGAGAATTTTCTTAATTGATTTGGACCTGCTAATTTATTAAATTCTGATTGTGGTCGGCCGTGCCCAAGTCTTGACCTCTCATGGGTGCTTTACACAAGAGAAACCCACCAATAACAACACATATTAAAGAATTTTAGGTGTGTGATTTTCACATATTCGAGTTTAAAATTTGAGTTTTGCTACAGTAAAAAGCTCTCACAAATAATTACATTTAACTTTTTTACTACAGTAAAAAGTTCTCATATAAAATCACATCTCAACTCAAATTACAAACTCGAATCAGCGAACTAAACGGTCCCTACATATATGCATTCACGGGAAATGCCAGGAAAATCTCAGTGTGGTCGGCAATTGTTTTTGTCTCCGGATACTGTTTTATTTTACGTCAAATGAACAATCGATGATTTCAGTGTCTTCGGTTAACAATAATTAAGTAAACGGTTAGTTAATAAATTCTTAATAAATTTAAAATTATGATTCAAAATTATTCTTAATTTACGTATATTTTTTTAAAAAAAATATATTATAATAAATCACAAATCATAATCTAAATTATAGTACGAATTCTTATTCCAAACACAACATAAAACTATACATTATACTCATATTTTAATGCCAGCTCCTCTTATATAAACAACAAGAAAAAAACACGCAGAGCAGTTGAGCTAAAACCATTGAACAAAAGTATACAACAAAGATTTGCTAACACAATGCAGACATAATAATAATATTTGAGGAGCGACAAATACTAGCGATTGTCGCGACTGCAGCTTCTTAACTGTTCATCAAGACTCGCACACCGACGGTCAGAAAAGCACCGTCGCCACAGCAGCTAGATACACCCTCATATACAGAAGCAGTTATATATATACAAAAATAAAAATTAAACAAAAAAGGTCAGCGAGGTTTTAGCTAACCAGTGACAAAACGAAAGACGGTGAAGAAAGTGGTAATAAAAGAAAGAGATCCAAAACAACGGCGTTTATTGGGACTCGAGAGCTTTGTAGATGACAACGAAACATGGAAGGATAGCCCTCGGATTAAAAACGGTGAGCTCCTCGAGATTCGAGTAGATCCCAGCGTAACCGGCTACGGAATCGTAGGACGAGGCAAGAGACACGCTGTCCTCCTCCGGCGCCGCGTCATCCGCCACGCGCTTCACCCTTCCCGCGATCACACGGCACACCAGCATCGCCCTCCGACCGTCGGTACACTTAAGCGAGTCGTGGGCTCTGCCGCTGCTGGCGGTGGTCCACACGCCCTTACCTTCTCCGGCGCCGCCGTTTTTGCCTTGGAATCCGTGCCTGATGATAGTGCAGACGCCGCAGCCGGGGACGGAGCCGCAGAGGCTGGAGGCGCCACGAGCGCCGAGGGCGCACGACAGCGTGGTACAGTGGAAGCGGAGGAGCTCGTTGCCGTCGGCGGCGCACCGGGGGTTCTTTCGGGTGCTGCCGAGCGCACGCGCCTTCACAGCGTCGCGGCAGTCTTCGAACCGTTGGATCGTCCGCTGAGTGTTGTGAACCTTTAAGATCCGTTCGATCTTGAAGATCGGGTTGTCCTTCTTCAGCCAGCTCGATTTGAATATTATCTCCACGATGTTCCGGCCCGAATCTTCAGGGCCCAGCTCCGATACTGTTGTACCAATTAATGCAAAAAAAAAAAAAAAAAAAAAAAAAATTAGAGATGTGAATTTATTGTTTTTTTTATTTATGGTATTTTGTCGGTAGGGACGTGGTGTTGAAGTTTTTAGCGTATGAGTGGGGTTGAATTTTTAATATTTTTATCTTTTTTGTTTCCAATCAAATTATACTATACCTTACTGTGTAGTTGGGATCATTTATTTTGGTGTTCCAGAGACAGCTGTAACTACTACTACCATTAAGACAGGTAAAAAGATTTTCACTTGTTCTATGTTAGACATGACTAGAATTACGGCCAAAATTTTGTTCTAGTGATTTTTTCACATGCAATAAGATATTTGGAAAGAAAAACAAGCATGTAACACAAAAGGCGATTTGTGTTTTGAGCAAAAAAAACTCGTCTCCTCTTTCCGTTGCTTTATTTCTTTCTCTTTATTTTTCTGGTCCATGAGTTTTAACTTTCAAATTTCAAAACTACTCTATGTTTTTCACTTGAGGTTGAATTAGGAGGGAGAAGTACCGGACATTAATGATCACAAGTTTCAGCCACTTTCATTTCTTGTGCCTATGTTCAAATTAAAGCGTCATAATTAAGAGCGCGAATAACATATTCTTGGTCCTATTCCTAGCAAGGGAATAATCAAAAGTAATGAGAAAATATTTTGCATGTAAAAACTTTTACCAGCATGGCGAACTGCTTGATGAAGCTCCAAACTTTCAATCTTTGGAAACACCTCTCCACACTGAGGGCATGCACAAATGGTACTTCTCGGCGTGATTGGATACCTAATAATTTTTTCAACGCTAATTTAATATTTCTCTCCACATTTTTTTTCCTAAAATTAGAAATTACTCAATATAATAATCTCGTAATACCTGCTAGGGTCGACGATCATGTGACACTCATAACACCCAGAGAGTTTCCTAAACTGCATTCCTCTAGAAGATGACGACGTGTACGCAGCGCCACAGTTGGATCTCGCGGACCGAGTTGATGACGACGACCCGTTGACGGCCTTCCGACTCAGTAACCCGGCTTCCTGACCCAGTGAGCTACTCTCGGGCGAGTTGTCGGCTCTGTGAACGACCCTAGTGTTGCCATGAACGACGTCTCTGAAGCTGCAAATGGAGCTACAAGAGGACCCCAGCTTCGAGTACCCAACGACGCCGTTTTTCGACGGGTCGTGTACCTGAGACCCTTCGATCTGCTTGCAGGTCAGGAGGTTCTTGATTTGGTCCCACGACGACACCGGTTTCTTCTTTTGCTGATCATCATGATGATGATGCCGTTTATCTTGTTTCCGCCTGCGTTTTGATGTCGGTGGCTTCTTGGGCTCCGTCGTTGTGGTGGTCTCTGGGGAAACAAAAGTGAGCAGAGCCATAGTGGAAAAAAGCAAGCAGATAAAAAAAGAGAAATAGAGAAGATAAATGGCAGAGCTCTTCTCTTTTGAATCTTTTTTGTGTATAAGAGAGAGTGAGGGATCCGAGATGGGTAATAAGGAGGCAAAGTGAGAGAGGGTGGTGTGGTGGGGTTACATTGAGTTTATTATATTATAAATTTTAAATTATTATAGTATTCCGTTTATTTCTCCATTTTGGTTTCGCTTATGTGTCTGTCTTATACACGGTAAAGTGTACATGACTTTTGAGCCGTGAGATGGTTAGTGCATGGTTAATGCATAACCCTTTTCTTCTTGACTGAGTCAAATCTAAGGAAGTGGGGTCAATTTAATCCATGGTGGAGGACTGTTTGATTGATGTGGTCCCCTGGCCCACAATGACGAGATGGTAAGATGAAATAAGTTGTAATGTCTTTAGACGGCAGAGTTTGAAGCCACACATGTAATGTATGTTTGCCTGCCGTCTCATTGGAGCTATTCCCTTGTTCTTTTCAAGGATTTCTGTTGATTTCTTTCCTCTTTTTTTAATAATATTTACTAACCATATTTTTACCCCCTTTACATGTTAACTGGGCGTCTTCTCATTAGATTACTATATTGACGTTGGTAAGAAACTAAAGAATTGTTTACTTATCTCTTTCCAATTTAACCGACGACCTACTCCATGAGTCAAACTATAAATTTAAGACTCGTTCACTTTGTGAATTTAAGTTTTTAATTCGAGTTAAAATGTGACATTTGTTGAGAATTTTTTACTGTAGTAAAAAAAGTTAGATGTGACATTTTTTGAGAACTTTTTTTGTAAAAATCTAAAACTGAAAAACTCAAATCGGTGAAATGAACGAAGTCTTAGCCTCTGTCCTCTTTCACACGTGGTTTTGATGTCCGGAAACATCAATTTGTTTTATAAAGTTCTAAACTTTGAATGAGCACAACAGCCTTATAAGTTGTAGATTATAGGGAAAAGTGGTAAGAGACAAGCTTAATTATATGAACTTATAGAGATGGAAATCAGGCTTTTCATTTAGGCCCCGTTCACTTCACCGATTTAAGTTTTATTACAGTAAAAGATTTTCAGAAACAGTCAAATCTAACTTTTTTATTACAGTAAAAAGCTCTCATATAAAATTATATCTCAACTCAAATCAACGAATTAAACGGGTCTTTAGTATAAAGGCAGTGAAACGAAAACCAGATGCTTAGCTTTAATTAAGGATTTGTTCGCTTCACGGATTCGAGTTGAAAATGTGATATTTTCTGAGAGCTTTTAACTGTAAAAAAAAAAATTAAATGTGATATTTTTTAAAAACTTTTAACTGTGAAAATTTATAATTAAAAATTTAAATCAGTGAAATAAACGAAACTTAAATAATTGCAATTACAAACACTATGTAGTCCAACACGTTTGCGGTCTTTGCCTAAAGCAAACAAGTAATCGATTACTCAACAAATGGACGTTCTTTTATGTAAAGCTGTGGGCATTTTAGTTATTTTGTCTACGAAATCATATGCAACGGGGTCCAGATTCCCAGAGGAAGCAAAAGATAAAGCGAATGAGCCAAAGAGACATCACATAAAACATGGAGAAAGAATATGAACTATTGTTCTGATGTTCCTATTCCGATGTCCCCCACTATCCATTTCGGTGAATGAATTTACTGATATGCCCTTACCTCACACTAACTTCCCCATTATACCCCTAATATCTCAAATCGTTTGATGGCATTATTGGTGCATAGTGGGCTGGTCAGTCTCAAGCCATGCTTGATTCGGCCACAGGAACCACCACTTATGCATTGAGTTGCGCACTAGAAAGTAGAATCCAAAATTGGGATGTGTTTCATGCAAACCGTCGTTTGCACATTTGAGATTCCCATAGTATTACACTAAAACGAAAGAGCAATGAAAGGAAGAAGATTTTAAGACGCATTGTTTGATAAGAGTCATTTTCGGAATGGAATAAGTGGCTCAAAACATTATTGTCTTCGAGTAATGGTATCAGCTGGCATGGTATTTGGACCGATACCAATAATCCAACGATATGAGTTGAGCATTTTTCTTGTTAGTTTTAGTATCCAATCTCAGTCATCAATCCTCTTCTACTTTGTCCCTTTCTTCCTTAATGAGTAATTAGACTGTCCTTTCAAATTATAATGACCTATAAGGAAATTTTTTGTTACAGAGACACCACATGCGTAACTGATCTAACACACTTTACTTAACCTAAAAAGTTAATTTATTAGGTATTGGGTTCTTCTATATATAAACTATTTCACATATTTATCAATTTATCATGTGGGACAACACAGACATGTATTTTTTTCAACAATCTCCCCCGGTGTGTTCACCGAACTCCTCCTCAAATTAAAGTTTCAAGTAGTCAACACATCAAAACATCACACTCTCAAAGGAGCCAACTCAAGCATGGGAAAGAGAGCCGAAATCATGCGAGTCCACCAAATGCTCCACCATCCGCACTTGTAACTGCAACTGAGTATGATCGCTTGACCCGAACAAACCATCAATTATGATACCAACTGTTGGGGAAAAACACACCCCAACACGCACGCAGTAGAAAAAATAAACTGAAACAAAATAACACAAAAACAGAGAAGACAAAGCTTTAGGTGGTTCAAAAAATTTCCTACATCTAAGGAAGAGGGAGAAAAATTCACTAACAATTTTATAATTACACAACACACCCCTACACGCACGCTATAGAAAAAATAAACTGAAACAAAAATAACAAAAAAATAGAGAAGACAAAGATTTAGGTGGTTCCATAAATTTCCTACGCCCACAGAAGAGGGAGAAAAATTCACTAACAATTTCAGAATTATACACTCAACAAATTTTCTCACTTTATCTCTCTACCCAAAACCCTTTATACTATTTGTTTATCTTTCTCCTCACGTTTATCTATTTCTCTCAAAATGAGCCACTTTTTTTCCGCACTTTTCTCTGCGTATACATAAAGTCTTACACAAAGTACTTATTTATAGACTCCTAATAATCCTTGCCCCAAAACTAACTTACCCAAAAAATACAAAATAATAATTTTTCCAAAACTAATTTGAGTCACTTATCTAACAATCTCCACCTTGACTCAAATCTCTCAACTCACACAATTGGGTAACCAATCTTGACACCCATCCCGTCATCGCACCGATGATGCAAGTTTTAACAAGAACAAACATGTGTCAAGTTTAAACTCTCATCAAACTTGACACGAGAAATTATTTTAAAACTTCTGAACTTCAACGTCAGTAAATTATTTTATGAATTTAACAAAGTATTTTAGTATGTCTCAAAATCAATGACAATTGTTAAAATTTTGATAGAAATACCTTCATATACTTTAAGTATCGCTTTTATTAGAAGGAAATAAAAGTGGACACAAACAAGTAGTTAGATACATGAGTTAAATTAAGAATAGATTGAAATTTCAGATAAGAACATAGTAGATTATGTGTTTTTTTTTTTTTTCCCCTCTAGATTTCGGTACCATTCACCGATTTGGAAAATACTCCGCAATATTTGGCCAAGTTCAATAATTTGCAATAACTAATAAAATAATGAATGATAAATAACTTATTAATGTAATCAAATTCTAGGGAGCGAAACACTAATGGTACGTTTGGTTCATGGATTAGAACCATGTGATTAGAATCATTTTCGATTTATGTGTATTTTTTGTGAGAAAAATTACTGTAACGAACCACAAACCATGATTCGAATTAAGAACAAATCCATCTACCAAACATCACCTAAATTTTCCTCATTTTTTAACATTCATGTAATATGATGGATACCCTCGTTACCCCTCCCTAATTTAGAAACGGAAAAAAGGTGGCAAGAACAAGATGTGTACAAACTACAAAATAAATCTAAAACCGTACAACTGGCTCGTGGGTACTGCTGGGTACAGTTGAGTTTCTTATCTGTATCTCCACGCTTGTGTTTACAAATGTCTAATTATTACAAAACCATAACAGAGAAAGAAGGATTATCTTTTGGAGAGCAGTTGAAAGTCAGATATAGATTTGGCCAACCATTCACTTAGAAGGGCAGCTTTGTCCTCATGTCGTCCATAAAGCAGACATCGGATCACTCCTTATCTGATCCATCATGAAAAGTATATTACGTTTTTTTTTTGTTTTTTTTTTTTTTTCCTAACTCTGAAAATATGTATCAAGAAACTCCACTTATCCCCTACGGTGTACAATTGGTGTCATTACACTATTCGTTCGAGAACCTAATCGTTAACCAATAATTTTGTCTTCATGTTCAACAGCCTGTTGATATTGCACTTCGCAAAATATAAAATACCCATCAAAAAAAAAGAAAAAAAGAAAAAGATTTATGGGGTGGAAATGATTTTACGAATTTTCTATTAGACCAGTACCAAATTTCATGGAATAATATATAGACTCAGAATGCAAGGTAAGATTTAGGCTGCATTCAGAGTGGCAATATTCTTTTGAAACACAAGGAAAAGAACAACGGCTATTTGTCATTTATCCATGTATACCCATAGCATGTGCGACTCTTTTTTTGTATCCTTCTTGTTAGCGATTTATGTGCTAGGAAGACCTCTAGTTCTCAACTAAGGTCTTTGAACCCATGTGCCTTTGTTTTCTATGGGCCCGTTTAGTTCGCTCATTCGAGTTTTTAATTTGAGTTGAGATGTAATTTTATGTGAGAATTTTTTACTGCAGTAAAAAAGTTAGATGTAATTGTTTGTGAGAGTTTTTTACTGTAACAAAACTCGAATCAGCGAAATGAACGAGGCCTATATTCACATCACTGTTTTCTAGGCTTAGTTCCTAATTAGCCGATCTATCCTTATACTATTCATCTTATTTTTTCTGGAATGTGATTATTTTTGTGTGCATATATTGAAAAATGACGCAATTTTATCCAACCAATTTTCACCTGCATATGTTCATTATAAGAATCGATAGCAGTTATTGATCACTCTTCCAATATGTATCCAAAAAGTTGATTGTTATCGACTCTTATAAGGGATACTAAAATTTTAATTTACTTAAAATTATTAAAATATTTCAATACAAAAATGTTTTTTTTTTGTTTCTTAAAAAAGAAATAAATAAATATGCTAATAAATCGATTTATTCTTTTTTAAAGTCAAATTAAAACACTACATGCTAATCGTGTTTTATTAAGAGATGTCAATAATGTTTTAATGACGATAAACATAAATAAATATAACTAATTTATCATTATTTCAAACTAAAAAATTGTATGCATAAAAATTTGTACAATGATAGCGTAAAATTATTAGGAAGTTTTTAAATTTTAACCTAAATAAAATTCTAATTCGATGAAAAGTAACAATTGCATATTATGCATAATGATGGTCAAAAAACAAATTGAAAAAATACATAAATTTTTCTACTATAAGTATAAATATATATATATATATATATATTAAAGAGTATGGAGATTTACAAGTGAAAATATTTATGAAAGTAAAAAAAAAAAACATAAATGAGGTGTTTAAAGAGGAAATTAATAAAAGAATGTTTTAATGAAAAATAATGAAAATATAATATTTAAAAAAAAGAAAAAAAGAGCAGCATTTCAAATATATTTAAAGAAAATAAAGGAAGAAAAACTGAAAAATATAATTTTCTTTTTTTAAGGTAGAAAATACAATTTTCACACAGTTTAAGGACGAAAACCTTTGGAGATCATCCGTGCTTCTTTATATCTTATATGATATATGACATGCAGATGAAATTTGATTGAATAAAATTGTTTTTATTTTCCAATGTATACACAAAAATAATCTCCTAACACCCAAGTAATCATTCTTAAAACTAGTACTGAAACTTTGAACGGGCCGCCCGTGACCACTGAAAAATCTGAATTTTTACCCAAGTACCGAACCCGAACTGCCCGAAAATTCAGGCTGCCCGACCCGACCCGACCCGAAAATTGCCCATGGAGGCCTGCCCGTGCCCGGTCGGGCTGCCCGATGCCCGAATTTCAAATTTTTTTTTATATTATATTTTTATGTTGTATAACTATTTGTATAATTACAATGTGTATATTACAATTTGAAATTTGAAATGAACACACGAACTATATAAAAAAAATTACTTCTTCATTGATTTTTAAATTTGTAATTCATGATTGTCTCGTTAAAAACCTTACCAAGAAAAACTCAATTGGGATAAAAACTTGGTAAGGAAAAAAGAGTGCAATCATTGTGGGACGAATTACAAATTTGACGAACTTACAAAGTCTATACAAGATTACAATAAACACTATACAAATTAAAAATTACAAAGTAAATAAATATTTACAAATTAGAATAATAAAATTTAATTTGAAGCAGAAGGATCGTCTTGAAAATTAAAAGTTAATCTATTAAATTCGTCGATCCATTCTTAGTTTGCCGGTGAGATTGTATCGTGTAAGCGTCGGTCGGAACGGTCCCAATCCTTGATGCACACCAAAGCTTCAACAATATCCTGCTGCAATGCGTTTCTCCGTTCTTCAAGTATTCGCCCGGTTGTACTGAATGCTTGTTCGGCTGCAACAGTGGAGACCGGGATCGAAAAAATATCCATTGCCAGTCGTGTTAGGATCGGCCAAGTTAATGCTCGTGCCCTCCACCACTCAACCAAAGCAAACATTTCACTACTGTCTATAACTAAGCCCTCACTCAGGTACGCCATTAACTCGTTGAATCCGCCGCCACCTCTTGATGAAGATCCACTCCCAGATTCTTCTTGACCTTGAGTCATCGTCGTCGTCTTCTTTTTCTTCTTAGACAACCCAAAAACATTCAAGAATGAATGCGGATTGTCGTCTCATTGTTGCGGTTGTTCAACACGAGGTGTGTTTCTAAACCTACTTTCGTAAGAGATATATAGAGAATATATTTTTTCCTTTATAATAGGAAATTGGTCAGTAGTGTCGATAGCTAAAAATTCACCTAAGTTATCTAATCCACTTTCTAAACCTTCTAATTTTAATCTAGGGTCAAAAGTAACACCGAAACCATACAACATGGGTAATTTAGATCAATATTTTTTAAACTTCTTTTCCATAGAGGCGATAGAAACTTCTAAAACCTCGTGTGTCCTAAATTCACTAAATAAAATAGACATTCTTAAAAGTTCTCCTAATGTTAATGGTGAAGTTGGGTAATAAGTTCCACTAAGCTTTAAGGTAACTTCGTGAAATCTACCTAAAAAGTTATACAAAAGTTCGACAATTTACCAATCAGTTTCATCTATAAATCCTGTTCCTAATTTTGTACTAACATAATTTGTTATAGCATCTTTCGGGCAACGGTAAGAAATCCGACCGTTGGGTTCAAATTTTCGGGCAAAATTCGGGTTTGGGTAAAAAAGACCCGTTTTGTTCAAAATTCAGGCATTTTTCGGGCAACGGTCAAAAAAATTTGGGCAAATTCGGGCAACTTCGGGTATTGCCGAAAAATTCAAAAAAATTCCGGCGAATGACGGGGGACGACTTCTCCACGGCGGCGGGCAGTCGGGGGAATGAATATTTTCGGGCTGCCCGAGACCATACCCGAAAAAAACCGTGGTCGGGCGGCGAGAGGCCTCTGCCCGCCATGCTCGAAAATTTTCGGGCACCGGGCATGCCCGCCGCCCGAAGTTGCAACACTGCTTAAAACTGGCACGGCCTTTTTAAAAAAAATATAAAGAATCAGTTTTCTTTTAACTCACTGTTTTATTTTTTGTCTTCTTTAGAATTTCGTGTTTTTAAGTGTAATATATAAAATTTTCAACTTTCTTTTATCTAATTTTTTATTTAAAAAAAAAGATAATTACACTACATGAAAATCATGATAAAATTACATTTACTAAAATTATACTATTTTTAATATTCTTAAAATTTTATGCTATTTATTTTTATTGACATCCTAAAAATATTATTTTCCTACTTATATCATTTTATTATGGGTAATTTTGATAAAATATTTTTTAAATATGTATGAATCAAGATTTTATTTTTTAATATTGATTCATAATTTTTTAATTAAATAATTACACTAATAAAAGAATAAAAGGTATTTATGAAGAATCTCAAACAATAAATTCTTCATTTTTTTTTCTTTTGTGTGTGCCCTTATAGGCGTAAAGAGCCATTAAAAGAAGGGAGAAAGAGAAAAATATACTAAGATTTGAGATAAATTAAAATTAATAGATTAATAGTTTACATAAGTTAATAAATAGGTCAAATTACTGTTTTCGTCCATAACTTGTCTGGTTATGAATCATAACTTGACAAGTTATTGTCCATAAACTACGGTTTTTATCCATAACTTATCTGACTATGAACCATAACTTAACAAGTTTATTTATAACTTATCTGATTATAAATCATAACTTAATAAGTTATAACCTATTAATTTTTATAACTAAAAATTAACTTATATATTTCCTTAAACTTTTCAGGCTATTTTCTACTATTTTCGTTAAAAGAACTTGGTAGATCATACAGCCCAGACCATCCGCTGTCTTACTCTCTTGTGTAATTGAGGCCTGGTGGCCGGTGCCGTCGTACACGATTCAGGCCCAATTAAATCATTCGATCATCGTTCGCTGGACTGTTAAACCCCGCAATTAGGGTTTTACTTCGCTGTCGGAACCCTAATTTGACTCTGATTCTGCTTTGTTTTCAATTGGGGTTTTTCCCCCTCTATGGAATCCTAATTTCACTCCCGATGTTGTTTTGATTCCAATTCTTATCTTCATTCTTTATTTATTTTTCCCTTTGCATCAAATAATATCAAATAAAGAATCGGATATGGCCGGTACTAATAATCAAATCGATTCAGTCCAAAATCCCAGAATGACCTGGGAAGGTTGCAGCGTATTGCTCGACATCAATGATGGCGATCGTTTGGTTTTCGCTCGTCTGTCGGCCGCTGCGTAAGTCTCTTTTGCAAAAATCCTTATTTCAAGTATCAAAAAGGAGTAATTTTTAACATAAAATTTAGGGCTTTTGCTAATGTGATGAATTTGTTGACTGGATTTTGCAGGAAACTGAAAATTGGAAATAAGAATTGCTCTCTGCAGCCATTGATTGGCTGTTCATTCGGCTCCGTTTTTCGTGTTGAAACTGGAATTGGAGGCCCTTATTTGTCTCGCTTTAATCCCTCCTCAGAAGGTTTGGCCAGTGGATTTGCAGTTATGAGTGTGCAGATTATTGTTAGTGTTTGATTGTAATTTTTGGAGTTTTCATCATTCTAGGTAATAATGATAAAGAAAATAATGGATTCCAATCAAAGGAAGAGTCCAGAGATAACCGAGCACTGGTTGACGACAATAAAGCTCAGAGTCTAACTGGTGAAGACATAGATGCAATGAGAAGGTGACAGAATCTGTTCATAAAAGTTACCTATATGCAAAAAGTTTCGTTTTATTTATTTATTTTTTTTTCAGGTAAACCAAAGAAAAAGTGCATTCTTTTCTGTAGCAGCATTCTGTAAATTCTATGCGTTTGTGTGTTGACTTGTTTGTAAAAATTAATTCAACCAGGATAAGGGGTTGAGCATTACTACTTAGTTGATGGTAATAAGCTTGTAGGATTGTAGGACTAGTGTTTTACTAAATAGCTACTAAAATTGCTGCAATCTGCCTTTCCATTGTGATGTCTTCATTATCTACGCTATTGTGTTGTGTTGTTGTTGTTGTTTTTTTATTTTATTATTATTATTATTATTATTTTTTTATTCTAATGCATTATGCTACTTGATATATGCTCCCTGATATGTTTACTTTTCTGAGTCAACCAACATATTACCATTACTTACGCAGAGAGGGCGCGACAGGTGATGAAATAGTTGAAGCTCTCATTGCCAACAGCGCTACATTTGAAAAGAAAACATTGTTCTCTCAGGTAATTTTAGAGCTTGAAAATAGTAGTTTCCGTTTATTTCAACATCTGATTTGGTCTATCTCTGCAGGAGAAATATAGGATTAAGAAGCAAAAGAAATATGCACCCAAAGTGCTTTTGAGGCGCCCATTAGCTCGGAGGTTCTGTCTTATTCTGAACATTAGTTTTATTGTTTATTTTTTAAATTTTGTAAGAGTACTTGAGGGACAAGAGTGTAGCCCCAATCCAAATATTTTGATGCTTACTGAAGAGTTTGCCCATATATATCTCTTAAAAGCAAATAATTGTAAGGATTATCCTGATTTTTATCTAGCTAATATTTGGTTTGATCTGAAAAGACAGCTTTTCACACCTCTATGGTTGAGAATAGCTTAGTACACTGAAGTGGAAGTATCGTGACAGTTATGATTTCTATAAGTTGACTTGTATTTTATTCTTTATTTTTTTTTTCAGTATATGTGAAGCTTACTTCAAGAAATATCCTGCAAGAATTGGGTATGGACACTTGTCGAATAATTCTAATGATTTTTTTCTTTTATTTTTATTTTTATTTTTATTTTTTATTTTGCTACAAAGGCATGTGTATGGATCTTAACGTTGTGATGTATAATTTATAGTCCTTTTGGATTAAGTTTAGAACTATGTGGGATATTTAGCATATGCTGTTTTTTGTTTGGTTGTTACTAAAGTTATGTTATGTACGTATTACTAGAACTTTTGTTTCAAGAATAACCAGCCATGCTGATCCCCAACGTGATTGACACTAAGTGAATCCGTTTGATCGTCATTACAATCATTCTTCGCCTATTACATTTTTTTTTTTGAAAAAATTTCTGAATTACATTCATGCATCTGTTCTTGAGATTCATTTTAACTGTGGAATTTACTACATTCTTGTCTTGGTTTTTAAATCTAGTTTTAACAAGTTGCTTGCTTATCCTACGTTAATCAGATTTTTGAGAGTGGATACGTTATCTCTTCTATTGTCTATGGCTAATGTCTTTGCAAACTCTGAAGTCCTTGTGGTGGATATGGTTGGAGGTTTGCTTACTGGTGCTGTGGCGGAACGAATGGGAGGTCTGCACAAGTGCCAATTATTTCTTGTTTTATACATATTGATATATAAATGAATTTGTTTGATAGAAACTCTGGAGGACGCTATTTTTATCATTGATTATAAAACTACTCTGTATTTCTTCCAATAAATTCTGATAAAGACTAGAGACTGACAGGATATCAATTTTTTCTTTTTAATCAATGTCAATGGTAATATCTTTATTTATAATTTTTATTAAAAAAATGTCAACGGTAATATCCTTCGGGGGGTAAGGCCGCGTACATATGAGATTGAGCTTTCTCCCGAGCCTGTCATAGTACGGGAGCCTTTTTGGCACTGGGTTCTGCCTTTTTATTAAAAAAATGTCCTATCTTTATTTCTCCTCGCAATTGATTTTTTAGCTTCCTATCTTCAATTCATAACTCAAATGTCCGTGATTTAATAATATATTTGTTCCTACAGGTATGGGTCATGTATGTAGTACATATGCTGGAAATGCACCTTATCCTATGGAAATAGTGAGGATATTCAATTTTGGGATTGACATTTGCAAGAGGTACGTTTGCCTTTAAACTTCATCATATATGGATGAGCAATTAAGTTAAGTTTAGTTGCACTTTCACAAAGCACACAACTGTTTATTGCTACTATTTCTGGTTTTGAGTGATTCGATAATATTAGACTATATCTTACGTGTGCTTGTCTTCCTTTTATGCTTTCGTAGACACTGAGTTGGTGTGTAATGGTTACTAAAATTAAATGTAGCGAGCAACCCGTGGTTATTTTTCTTTTAATCTAGTTAGAACTTGTTTTGAAGATTGAAAGTACGGTATTAAAATAGATGAAGTTATGAACAAGTTCTTTATCAATTTAATCGGGTGCAGCATTTTACGGTCTTCTCTTGATAGCCTGTCTTCCTCCAAAAATGGAACATCCAAACAAATTGGTGAGCATGATGATTCTCTTAGCGTAGAAGGTGGCTTAAAAGTAAGTCGCAATTGCAATGTGTTCCCAAATTTCGGAATGCAACCTCTCTCTCTCTCTCTTGTTCAAAATCTCTTTTGGCTTATTTTGGTCTTGGAAGTTGCTAAAGGTCACAGATTCACAGTATATGATTTATACAGGACCAAACTTCTCCAGTGTGCCCGGAGGAAATTTGTGATGAATCTGAAAATGGGAAATCTAATATTCTTCTCGAGGATAGCCTATCTCCTGTGATCAGAAGTTGCAAATCTGTAAAAGCTGGAGAGAAAGCACCGGAAGAAGTCGTTAAATTGTGGAAAGAAAATGGGTTTTCTAGGTAACTATTGCTGATATGATCTATTAATTAAAGTCCGTTGATTACTTGTTAACCAAATCTTTTGTGCAGTCTAATAGTCGCCGCACCAGATCTGGACCCCTGGAGTTTAGTTAAAGATCTCTTGCCACTTCTGGCAAGTTCAGCAACTTTTGCCATTTATCACCAGTTCCTTCAGGTCATTTGCCTCAAATTACTGATGATAGCAAATTTGTTGTTTTCATACTGCATTCTTATTTTGCCATTTATCCTCTGTGGAATATGCACAAGTTCTATTTATATTTAATCCCATTTGAATAATTTATTTTGTGAAGAAGTCCAATATTATCTCTTTTTATTTGTTCCAAAGTTCATCAGACATTTCCTACCGTAATGCTATTTGAAGTTGTGGGAAGTGAAACATTTTGGAAGCTTAGCCAAATTATTTACTTGTTTCTGCATTATTTTATCACTCATACGTTTCTTGTGGGTATATAAGATAAGATTTACAATTTCGTAAATGTAGTCCCATTTAAAAAATTGATTCTTGAAGAAACCAAGTACTTTTTTTTCCCTCTTTTGCTGTGGTGGGTTGGGGGGTGGGGTGTTGGGGTTGGAGTTGAAACTTCACCCAAAATCCTTCTCACAGCACCTCCTGTAATATGACTTTGAGTTTTCTACGGAGAAAATTTTACATTGGCTAAAATTGGTCTGGCCATGATTAGTCATGAAATAGAAATATGAAATTTGGAGTTGGTGGAAGTTGAATTAAGTTCGTCTTCAGCTCAGTCAAGTGCCAACCAGCCCTGTGTTTTGTGTTTGTGATTGGACTCCATGATAGTTCATTAACATCGTCATTATGTTTTTGGCATGCAGCCTCTTGCGACCTGCATGCACAATTTACAGCTCGAGAAAATGGCAATTGGCTTGCAAATTTCAGAACCTTGGCTACGCGAATATCAGGTTTTACTTTTTCTTTTTAAAAATTATACTGATTTGATGTCCTTTGCTCCATTTTGAGGTGATTTATAGTCTTTGCATTCAGTTTAAACTGTGAGCTCAGATATGCGCGGCAAAGAATGTTCCAATTGGAATATATTTTGACGAGTCGACTGATTTGATTAGTCAAGTTTCAATATGTTATTTTGTTAATTTGCTTTGTTGATTCTGGTGGTTCATACTTGAGAAGTTATAGGGCATACAATAACAATTGTAAGATGAAATTAATGTCTTCATATTTTCTTCTTTTTTTTTTTTTTTGAAGGTCCTTCCGTCAAGAACTCACCCTTGCATGCAGATGAGTGCATTTGGTGGATACATTCTTAGCGGCACTAAAATATGCAACGTCTAGTTTGCAATAGTTCGTGTCGGTTGTCTGGTGTTTTTCACTTTTAATTTATCTATTATTTAAGCAAACGTGCAACTGGTTCCGCATATTTTCTACGTGGGGTTGCATATTCTAATTCCGTGTAATATATGTATTATTTATGGCAAAATTAATTTATAGTTTTCTGGTCTAATATAAGTTACGATTATGATACATTTGCGTCGTAATATTTGATTAGTGCGGCGTTTTTTGTCTAGGTTACTTGTACGTCGTCTGTTATCATATACCTCAGGTAATACTCATGATCGGATAAGATTTAACCTACATCTTGTTAAATTCTTTTACCCTACATCTCTTCTTTCGCTTAGTTTGGTATTGCTTTTCCCTCTCAAAATCAATTTCTGCTTGTAGCAGAAGTTGATTTTAGTGTTTGGTAAATTTCATTAAAAGTGCTTTTTGAAGAATTTTTTAAGAATTTACAGTCAAAATTAAAAGCAGTCTAAAGACAACTTTAGCTTTTAAATTATGCAGGAATCAACATAGTACAATTAATGAAATTTTTATAATACTCATAATATCCCTAATAAAATTTAAAATTTACAATCTTCTTAATTTAAAATTTAAACACGTAATATAATATAATATAATATAATATAATAGTAATGTAATAGTAATATTGTAACAAATAATATTATAATTATATTAATAACTATAATATTATTATTTTATCATATAATATGATATTATAATAATATTATAATTATTTTAATAATATGATATTATTATTATTATT